CTATTTCACAATAAAAACAATAGACTTGTGGCAAAGGAGGTATCCTATGACAGCGCCATGTTTAAAGTCATGATGAAGATGTTCGGTATCACCAATTCTTCTGCCAGTGTTTAGAGGTTGCATGGCTAGGTGCCTAATTTTATGCACCTGTTATCAATGGGTGTGATTGAAAAATGTGATAATTAGGGGTATCCATATAAAATGTGGCAAAAAATCAGCATTCAGTTCCAGAAAAGAATTTTCCAGAATCCAGAATTTAATTATTTTAAGTAAGGCTTCAAAGTGTGAATTCCTAAATGAGAACGGATTGGCTACCGGAGGGAAGCAAAGTCAATTCAGCTCAATTTTCAACATCTTCATCATCTGTTGTAAATGAAAGGTGGGATTAGGTGGCCTACATCCATAATCTTGAATACAAAGTGCTCCGCAAAATGCATTCACTTATCCGGTATATTCAGAAAAGGCATTCATCAGTAAAATAGACTTAATCTACCACCTTCGTGAGAGATCTGAGAGAGAGCGGATATTGATCAGATGGAGCATGAATCGATGCTTCCTTGACACTTGCCAGGTTGGAATTCTGGCATTTTGCGCCTCAAATTTAGCTACCGCTTTTCTCACAGCTCGATGCTGAAAACAATTAAACCACGCTGCGGAGCAAGAGCGGCTCATATGGCTCAGCTATATTTGGCAGCGTTATGATTCCGTTCACACTATCAAGCCCGCTCATGTTTTCTGCAGGCGCTCTGCCATATGAAAGGCTATTCCTGAAATATTTATTTCTTTACTTTCAGAGCCATGATTGAGGTAAAAGTTCAACTTTTGTTGCTATTTTTGCTAAAAATGTGGGCAGGCCTCAGGAAGGCGCTCGCTAAAAACAATGGCAATGATGTTATTCTAATTTATCACATATCTCTCTCTCTCTCTCTCTGTTTCTTTGTCTCACTTGTTCTCCCTCTCTCTCATTTCATCCCACTTTGTCTCTCTATCCTCCTCTTCCCGTCACACATTGCTTCCACACGACTGCAGCCCTCTGCTCTGCTCCACTGATCTAATTTGAGCTAGTCTGCGCACATTCACCATGCTAAGCCTTGCCGAAACAACACGATAAACAAGCTGATATTAATGATCCTTAATAGATAAGCACAACATATTCACGCTGTGCGGTCATGGTGCTTTGCAGGCTAGATGAATTGTATTTTCAGCTTTCAGTGAAAAAAAAACATACCTGAAAACCACAAAGATGAATGCTTTGAGATTTGTCTATGTGGGATGCAGACAGAGAAAGAAAGATGAAGACATTAGCTAAAGGCATTAACATACGGCTATTAAGTACCAAAACTATGAGGAATAGCACGACAAAGGCTTTGATTATGCTGGTATTTAGCCTGCTAGCGCTTGTCAGTGGTTACCCTTGAATTTCCATATATACATCATTTGCAGCCCATATATAGATCAAGAATATTACATTGTATTAGATGGTCCATATTCTACAAAAAAGAGCTTGTTTTTCCAGGCTGATATAAGTAAATTACCTCTGTTCTGACTGGCTGATTCAAAAAGGAATCCAGGCTAAACACTCCTTATAACCTCTAAGTGAATGGGCAAGGCTAATCTGATGTAGGCTAAACAGGCAGATATATGTAAATGTGTGTTTTTTGTGACATCACAAAAACAGCAGGTTCAAAACTCTCAGAAATAAAGGTGTGAAACTGTCACTGAGGCAGTACCCCCCTTTCTGGTACCCTCAAGGGTACATCTCAGTACCTTTAGTCAGGGAACATAATTGTCCCTTAATCCGTTGAAGTTATATTTTCTAAATTGTATTGATTCCACACATCCTGTTTTGTCTCCAGGTTTTTTAAATGTTCTGTTTTAAAACATTAGGTTATGAAAAGGTACAAATATGTACTTTCACCTGGAAAAACTTATTTAAGACACACAACTGGACCTTGAAACCACTGTTGTACCTTTGAAAGTACATTTACATTGTTTGTACATTGGTGTATCTGCACAGTACCTTTACTCCTACCAGTGTAGGGTGTGGAAAATTTTGAGAAAGTTTTCATCTTACACTGTGAATAATGGTTGCTTGGTATAGTAACAAGCAATTTAACTGGATTTATTCAACTCACATGACTTCGCATGAAACTATGTAAAGCAAAATTTCACATCAATTGAGATCTCAAAAACACTTCCACTTTTCCAGTGTACTGCATTTCAATAAAACAAGGAAAGTCTTTTTCCATGATGTGGGCCCTTTAATATTGGCCTTCACAACAATACAAACAGAACAAGGTACATCTATTTGCTGTAACAAAAAGCAGCGTGACAAAACAAAAGTGAGATGTAGTACGTAGTATGTAAAAATCTAGTCATGATTAAATATACAGTAAATATTACTTTCATGCAACTGTGCTGTAACAATATTTTGTGCCTCGAAGTAAATGGCAGCTGCTGCACAGCTTAAAAAACTTTCTCCCTTTTCTGTATGTATGAGCTCATCCATTTTCATGTAATGAAATGTCTGTTGCCTGCTGGGTACGCTGGTGCCTATACTTTATTCAAAACCTCATTTACAGCTCATGTTTTCAACATAAACATGGAGGTAAGGGAAAAAAATAATCACACAAGGAAAATGTCGGGCTTTCTGACTTTTCTCTAGTCTCTCTAGTCTTTGTCCTCCAAGAACAGCAGATATAGACCAGTCTCTTCTCCACCCCTAAATCGATTAGCGTAACTTGCTAGGCACATTCAGCAAATGATTCATGCTCATCAGTTTCACTTCACCTCATGGAGACACCACTCACTCTTCTCCACTTTATCCTGCCTCATATCCACCACTGCGTTCGACTCAAGGGAGGCTTCTCTAAAGCCAATGTTCACATCACGCTTTGGTGTCAGAGGCTACGGCTAAGCCCCCTCCTCTCCCAACACCCATTATTTTTTATCTGCTCACTTCAGGAAACACATTATGGCCCGGAGAGGAGTTAGTGAAAAGAACAAGCTGACTGGTAATGGAACTATAAGGGCATGACTAATACCGTCTGGATAAGGTAATGTCAGTGCCCTCCGTTTATCTTAGCTAGCACGCTCATGCGCGTTAGCCAAGATAAACGTGTGCTGCATTACTCCCTGCTAGTATGTCCCCAGCAAAGAACAACACACTAGATCAAGTGACCCAAAATGACCAAACAAATCACAAATTAAAATGTGCTACATGCTCAAGGGGGCTGGGTGGAGGAAGGGCCAGAACTAGCGCTTAGCATTAGCACTTTACTGCTAAGACTGAGAGGATCATAAACATAGACTGGTGCACTGCGGCATCTTCTACCACAAAGCATTTTATACAAGCAATTACTACAGAGTCGAACAGAAAGGCTTTATATTTGTCTTAGTCTTTTTCTAGCTGGCAACTTCTCTAAACTTTATGTGTGCAACTTGTTCTCGAGTCAGCAGTGGCAGCAGTGAATCTATGAAAAACTGCCAAGCCTACTTTTAGTGTGGAGGCAATGTCTTGCCAAATCTTTTCCAAATACAGAAACTTATTTTTCACACAAGCTGAAGTGTCCTGACCCTGCAACAACACCTGTGTCTTTTAATCTCTGTGGCTCTGAATGCCCCTACTACGAAATGACTGTGCTATTTTTTAAATGCTTGCTGTAAGGTTGCCAACTTTGGTGAGGTGACTAAAGTGAGACTTTCAGGTGGCTGGAGTGAGAACTTGAACCCAAGCTTGTAGCCATCATAAGTAGACCTGTGGTTCCTAAACCAGTCTTCAGTGACCCCCAACTAGTCCACATTTTCTTCTCTAACTCAGCCATGTTGTGTCTGATGATGAGGAGACAGCGCTAACCCAGATACCAACTTGAACTTGAGCGCTTCGGTAACTGAGCTTGTGGGATGGAGTGATATCAAAGCAATCTTGAAGAGAGAACCCTGATGCTCCAGTTTTTAAAGCCAGGGAAAAATCTTGCACGGCTTCCCTTTCACACCGCTTACACACTCTGGCTGTGAAAGTGACATAAAAAGGGCAGAGCTGCAGGAGGTACAGCCAAACTCTTCCTACGATTATATCCTTTGATTTGACCCAGTAGGATGTCATCATGCAGAAAGAACATAAAATAGCTGTTTGTAGCTTATAGCGTGTAGGTTGGTCATCCATTCGCTGGTTCAAGATTTCATTGCAACGAAACCAATATCGGGAGATTCACGCCAAAACTGTGAGAGTAGGCAACTCTGCTTGGTGTTGTATTAAAACCTCATTATTCCCTTTGAAACACCAGCAGCTCTTTCCATTGTGTTAGCAATTCATGATGAATGGACCAATAGCAATGGTCCAAAAATCTTGTATTCAAGAGCCCTTATCATGGAAAACCAAATGTTCTGCCCTTTTCTTTGAAACAATAGATCCAACAATAGTAAACAGTGTTAACATTTAAAATGTACCAGTCCACAATGGAAAGTAAGCTGCAAAACAGCCTGGTTTGATTTCACTGTTCTTGCAATGTCATGAAAACTAAGACATTTACATATATCTGCCCAGTCAACCTACAGATCCTTAGTTCTACCCATTCACATTGAAGTTATAAGGTGTGTTTCAGCTTGAACTGCTTTTTTTTGAATGAGGTACAATACTGGGCAGCCAATCAGAACAGAGCTCATTCATAACTATCAGTCTTAAAGGCACTGTATCAAGCAAGTTTCATTCTGAGGGATAAAGAGAGGTTGTACAATAAACATGTAAAATAAATTATGACTGTTTTTGATACATAAAAACACATGAATGTCATAAGTAAAATAACAAAAATACAAGAGAAGTGGATGGAAAAATGGAAAAATTGAGAAGTTTTCCTTCTCTTAGAAAGTTCCCATGTTGGAGAGTGACAAAAGACATGCCATACACTGCTGCTAAAACACTTCTCGAGAAGCTTTACAGTATCTTGACAGGTAAGTCATGAATCAGTGAACAGCTCAGCACTGTTTCTGAAGATTCTTACCCAGGCAATGGCCATTATGCCCAAGGCAAAGAGGCTGGGGCCTAGCAGGTTCCATAGGCCATGGCGGTCCAGCTGCAGGGCCATGGACAGAGACATTGCCCCGAGCAGGTACAGCACCTAGCAGAGAGAGAAGGAGTAAAGAGAATGTGTTGGAATGGGTTAGGCTGGGTTAAAGATGTCCACATGTCTTCCAATTAAGGGCAGCCTGCTGGGCCTACCTTCAGCCAGACAGGCAGTGTAGGCAGTTTCTGATAAAAATGCCCCCTCCACCCCCACCAGTGCTGCCACACCGGTGCTGATGTGACGTAGGTGATTTGATTAGTGCTCACATACTGCTGCTCTCAGCAAAAACAAACACATACTCATTCTCCCTGGAGGAGAGCAGCTGCTGCACCTAGACTGAGTCTTCCACATCCTCTCAGATACAAATACACACACACACACACTCAGACACACACATTTTGTCTCTTATAAGCCCTCACATTAATCTAACTCTTTTCCTCCCCATTCTTTCTTCCTTTAATTCTCTCTCCCTCCTGACTGCTGTAGTCTGGGGAAAAGCCAATAAGTAAAGCAAAGAAATGGCCCGTGCTAGCACACACACACACACACACACACACACACACACACACACACACACAGAGTTAGCTTAGAAAGTACTCCATCTGGGTTTACTGCAAAACGACTGCCAGACGTCATTACCCACAAAGACAAGCGTAACAGATTGCTGACATTCATATATTTATATTACACTTCTAAATGAAAGTCAGAGAACACCCTTCATTTATTTCATTTCCAGGCAAAACGGCCATTAAGTACAAGTTATTTATTTTTCAGATGTTTCTGGGGATATTAGATATCCACTTGCACCTGGAAGGGAATAGTCAAATGAAAATAAGTGAACAGGAGTTTCTTAAATTAAATTATTTCAAAGTTATAGAGAAAATAGTACTCCTAACAAACTTGCAAGACCTGGCAGACCATCAAACTGTCACTATCAGAAAAACAGTTCTTAAAGCTTTCATCTTTGAGAGAGAGGAGAAAATCAAGCTCCACTCTTGATGGAAAAATCCAGAGGTATTTCTGTCCATCCTTCCACTGTGAGAAGACTCAAGTCTGAAAGTATGTGTATCTGTCAGGAAAGCAGTTACTGGGAAAAAGGAAATGGATAAAAGAGAAAAAAGTTTGCAAAATCAAACACAGAAGCTGCTGGTGTTCTCAGAATAACGGACTGACCGCCCCAGAGTCCAGACCTCAACATCATTGAATGTGTTTGGGATTACTTGAATTGTGAGAAGCAGAAAATGCAACCAACTTCTAAGACTGAACTTTGGAGGTGTGGAACAGTATCTGTGAAGATTTCTTTGAGAAGCTAAAAGTAAGCTAAAGAAGCTAAACTCCTGAAAGGAATGGAAGCGGTAATAAAGGCAAATGGTGAACACAATAAATACTGAAAAAATAGATATTATCTTTATCATTATTTAGTTTTTGAGGTGTTTATGTAATATTCTGTTAAATATATATTTTGTGCCTATTTTTTCTTGGCATTGAAAAATGACCTTGACTGGAAATGAAATAAGTAAAGGATGCTATCTGAATTTCACGCAATACTGGATAAAATATGCATTCTTGCCAAGTGAATTTTACCTGCTTGATGATGGATTTGAGTCTGGCCATAGCAATGACAGTGACCCATACAGACATGAGGGAGCCGAGAAAATCACAGAACTGGAGGACATCGTATTCCATAATGCAGAAAACCACAATGCCTGGCTGATCACACGCATGATAGAACTACAGAAAGTGAAAAAAAGAGAGTTTGAAAGACAATTGAGTTGCCTTATATTGAAATTAACAGTGAACATATTAATAATATTAACATATTAATAATAATTCATATATAATCACTAGTAATAGCAATCCAGTAGCAGCAAATATACAATGTTCTGCATTGCAAACCCATCCTACTTGTGTCACCAGGTTCCACTATAGTCAACATGCCACACTTGTTCAGTCATGCATAGATAGTACAGTATTCACAGGAGAACTCACAGTAGAGAAGAACATGGTGAAGATATAGACGGAGGCCTCCAGCAGATAATGGCTGCGGATGGCGATGGCCACGGGCGGAACAAACATCAGGTTACTCAGACAGAGCAGCAGGGTGGACAGTAGTTGAAATCCATACGAATAAGCCTCTGTATTGTCTGTACAACCCCAGCCGTCCCAGCCTAGGACAGACATAAACACACATTGTTTTGGACGGAGTTTTGTAGAAGGCCCTGATGCAAATACTAGTGTTAGATGCAGCTTAATTACTCAGCCACAATGTTAAAATAATGCCACTGTCATAACGAAACCTCATATCTCTGACAACTTTATAGGAGAAAGAAAAACATTCTTAATTTTCGTCTAAAATTTTAATTTTAATTTTAGATCATCTGTGTGAAAATATTCTCCTTGCATCTTCAAACAGTGTAAATGTAGAAGAGTAATGGAGTTTTTGATTTGACCATGAAGATGTGATCTTTATGACTGACAACTAAATTACTAATTTGCCTTCAAAGAAAGTATTTTCTCTGCCAAAGTACTGCAAAATGTAAGGTCAATGCCATTTTTAAAGAAAAAAAAATGAAAGCGTACAAATAAACCATACATATATTGTATTTTTAACACTGCTGTTGTTAATCTACAGAAATAGAATGTCAATTTAAAAAAAAATAATGCAAATGATCACTTTTATTTCAGACATTTGCGTTTACTATAATGTGTTTATTTTTATTCTAGTGAAGCTGTACAGTACAAGGCAGTATCTCTAAGAAATTAAATGACTGTAATTTAACAGATTTTTACCATCATTGAGAAAAGATACTTTTACTGTTAATTAACGGATTTTGTCTAGTATTCCTGCTGCTGATTTTTACAGAAATTATTATTATTATTTTTTTTTCACAGCTTGGTTACTACAAGGTGAAACACAACATAATACGCACTACATGTCCAAAAGTTTGTATACACCTGCTCATCAAACATTTCTTCTGAAATCAAGTGTATTAATAGGGAGTTTGTTCCTTCCTTACTGCAGTAACTGCCTCTGCTCTTCTGGAAAGATTTTACACTATATATTGGAACATAGCTGTGAGGATTTCATTGCATTCAACCACAAGAACATTACTGAAGTCATGTACTGATGTGAAAAATAAAAAATGGACACAGACAATTGTGTACCCTGCCAATGTGGGCCCACCACCCGCAAGGTCCAGCATGGGGGAGCAGTGCAGTGCCGTATAGGCAGTGGGAGATTGCGGGGGGGGCCCTGGTGGCCTAGGCCCCTGCGGCAGAAACTGGCTCTTGGTACGTGGAATGTAACCTCACTGGGGGGGGAAGGAGCCGGAGCTTGTGCAGGAGGTTGAGAGGTACCAACTAGATATAGTTGGGCTCGCCTCCACCCACAGTGTCGGCTCTGGAACCAAACTCCTTGATAGGGGTTGGTCCCTCTCCTACTCCGGGGTTGCACAGGGTGAGAGGCGCCGGGCGGGTGTGGGGATACTCACGAGTCCCCGGCTGGCAGCCGTGCAGTTGGAGTTTGTCCCAGTGGACGAGAGCGTCGCCTCAATGCGAATTAAAATCGCAGAGAGGAAAACTCTGACTGTTGTGTGTGCTTATGCACCAACAGCAGGTTGGAGTATTCGGCCTTCATGGAGCAAGTGGGCAGGGTTCTGGAAAGGGTCCCGTCTACAGACTCCATAGTCTTACTGGGAGACTTCAATGCTCATGTTGGCAATGACTGGGAGACCTGGAGAGGCGTGATTGGGAAGAATGGCCTGCCCAATCTAAACCCGAATGGTGAATTGTTATTGGACTTGTGTGCTAGGCATGGATGGTCCATAACGAACACCAAGTTCCAACCCAAGGATGTTCATAAGTGTACGTGGTACCAGAGCTCCTTGGCTGAAAGGTCAATGATCGACTTTGTTGTCGTTTCATCTACTCGGGACCGTATGTTCTGGACACTCGGGTGAAGAGGGGTGCTGAGCTGTCGACTGATCACCACCTGGTGGTGAGTTGGATCAGATGGCAGGGAAGACTAATGGTCAGACCCGGTAGGCCCAAGCGAATAGCGAGGGTGTGCTGGGAATGACTGCCGGAGGCCCCTGTTCGGAATGATTTAAACTCCCACCTCCGGGAGAGCTCTCTCATGTCCGGCAGGAGGTAGGAGACATGGAGTCTGAATGGACCCTGTTCAAAACCTCCATTGTGGAAGCTGCCAGGCATGGCTGTGGCCAAAAGCTTGTGGGTGCCTGTCAGGGCGGTAACCCAAGAACCACCTGGTGGACACCGGTGGTGAGGGAGGCCGTCAAGCTGAAGAAAGAGGCCTTTAGGGACTGGATGGCCCGGAGGACTCCCGACTCAGCAGATAGGTACCGACCGGCAAAAAAGGTGGCAGAAGCAAAATCCAGGGCATGGGAGGAGTTTGGAGAAGCCATGGAAAAAGACTTTCGGTTGGCCTCAAGGAGGTTCTGGACAACTGTCCGGTGACTCAGGAGTGGTCGGGGTGGCTGCGCCCAAGCTGTATTCGGCAGGGGTGGGGAGGCTCTGACTTCAAATGAGGATATTGTCGGTCGGTGGAAGGAGCACTTTGAGGAACTCCTTAATCCGGGAGATATGCCTCCCTCACGGGAGTCAGGGCCAGAGGCTTCTGGCGTGTCAAGCTCCATTTCCCTGGTGGAGGTCACTGAGGTAGTTGGCAAGCTCTTCAGTGGCAAGGCACTGGGGGTGGATGAGATTCGTCCAGAGATGCTTAAGGCTCTGGATATTGTGGGGCTGTTGTGGCTGGCACGCCTCTGCAATATTGCATGGACCTCGGGAACAGTACCCTTGGACAAGGTGCTAGAAAGGAGACTGTACCGGACTGTAGTGGTGAAGAGGGAGCTGAGCCATAAGGCGAAGCTCTCTGTTTATCGGTTGGTCTACATCCCGACCCTCACCTATGGTCATGAGCTATGGGTAATGACTGAAAGAATGAGGTCGCGAATACAAGCGGCGGAAATGAGCTTTCTTCTCAGGGTGGCAGGCTACACTCTATTTGATAGGGTGAGGAGCTCGGCCATCCGGGAGGAGCTCAGAGTAGAGCCGCTACTCCTCCGCATTGAGAGGAGCCAGCTGAGGTGGTTCGGGCATCTGATCCGGATGCCCCCTGGACGCCTCCCGGTGGGGGTGTACCAGGCACGGCCTACAGGGACAAGACCCCGGGGTCGTCCTAGGACGCGCTGGAGGGATTATATCTCCAGGTTGGCCTGGGAGCGGCTTGGGGTCCCCGGGAATGAGCTGGAGGAAGTTGCGGGGGACAGGGTCGTCTGGGATTCTCTGCTCTTCCAATTGCTACCGTGACCCTAGCTGGACTAAGCGGTTAATGACGATGATGATGATGATGATGATGATGATGTACTGATGTTGGATGATTAGTTCTAGATCACTCCAACTCATCCCAAAGGTATCAGAAAAACTGAGGGGCTTTATACCCCTCTATCCGATGCTTGGCATTGGGTATTGTGACCTGAGACTTGTGTAAAGCTGCTCCAGAGCATCCCATTCTACCGGCAGTGCTTTTCTATGGAGATTATACAATCTGTGTGTGCAATAGAATGACTGTGTCAGCAATAGATGACCTTAAAGTAGCGCACACATGCATATCATAACACATACATGCCTCCAAATTACCTACACATCCTCGTCAAACACCAAAACAAGAGAAGCACACATTCAGGCACACATTTGCAAGCTCATCTGTGGGTCTTTGTAAACAGCTTCATAAATATAGATTGGATGCTGTAAGCCTGCAGTGATGTAAACAGTGTGAGGAAAGAGGTGCACTGCACTCTTTTCTCACCAACTCTTACCTCACACATAAAATATGAGCAAATAAGAACCAAAACAGTCGCTTTGATTATGACTGCCTAATCAACACCCAAAAAAATATATATATCCTCATTTCAGAAGCTCAGCCTGACTGAAGATTAATTGGATGTCAAAAAAGACGATCACGCGGCGCTTCTTCAGATACTCGAGAAGAAAGCCTGCTCTTGTGGAAGGAATCAGAGGGAAATTAAAGGGGAAATTTTTCAACACCAGCTGTTTGCCCCCGCAAATATTCATTAAAGGGGTAGAAGCGAATACGTGGCTGACTACAGCGCTAGCAAGCCACAATCCAGAGGGGGAGACAAAAAGTGATTCGCGAACTGCTCCATAATGGAGAAGTAATTGAGAGGCCTTGATTAGCATATTTCCCAGCTTTATCGTGCGTCCTCTAATTAAGCAACTGTTTGATTCGTGATCTCTTATTCACATGGAGACATGAGTGACATACGTGCGGCTGAATCATCCGACTTAACCTGCCAATTATCTTTGATTGGCGTTCGACTGTGGAGAGGGGCGATTACGACGAAATTATGAAATATCTCGGCGATTAAAATCGCATTAACCTTTAAACTGATTGCGATGTGCGGAGATAAAAGGAAAAGAATACATTATTATGAATGAGAATGTGATATATATGTAGATACTTTTCAAAACCATTTTGAAAGATAATTCTTAGCATTATATTCCTGAATGAGTTTAACCCTTAGAGGTCTAGTATTATTACTGTCATTTTGATATTGACTATTTATTTACATAATGACAGTCACGTTGTTTTGATGGAAAACAATAACAAAATACAGCAAAAATGTAAAGGATGTTTTTCTCAGTCTGTATGCACAACATCAACTTTTCATCAAATTCAAATGCTACAGTTCTGCTTACAGACATCATAAAAGTCATGTACACATTATGCTAACATTGCTATGAGGATTTGATTGCATTCAGCCACAGAAGCTTTAGTGAGGACTGATCACAAAGAGCCACTCCAACTCATCCCAAAGGTATTGAATGGAGCTCCATCACTCCAGAGAATGCAGTTTCACTGCTCCACAGCCGAATGCTGAGGGGCCTTATATCCTTCTAGCTGACTTGACCTTAGGCTCAAGTGAAGCTGCTTTAGAGTGTTCCATTCTATTGGTAATGCTTTTCTATGGAGATTATACAGGAAGATTCACTCGAAAGAGGCCCTGAATACTCTGTTGTAACTCCTTTTAGGATGAAGCAATCTGAACCAAAATAATACACTACATACCTTGACGTATGTGTAATCAATTGCATTACATGTGATGCTGGAAGTGATCTCCGTTTTCTGCCAGACACATGAAGGGGTATGGGGGTATGCACCCAGAAGTTGCAAACAGAGGTTAAACGTCACGACGGCTGTCTGGCACCTTTCTCATCGCTCCGACACAGGGGCATCCCAGCTTCTTTAAAGCTCCATATACTGAGGAGCACATTGCATGTTGTTTCGCTCAGATTGCTTTGTCCTAGCGAGAGTTATTACAGAATATTCGGGGCCTCTTTCGAGTGAATCTCTCTGTACAAGCTGTGTAATGAATGCAACTTAAAGGCAATTCCAATTTTTCAAAAAGTCTGCATAATTCAATTATTAAGATGTAAACAAAGTGTATTCTGATGTGAAATGGTTTATTGTAAGGAACTTTATTTATTATCCAAAATGAACAGTGAATCTAAACGTGTCTCCTGAGTTTTTATATGTAATGTTAATAATGATAAAATATGTGACAAATCTGAAAAAAATAGGTTTTCTTTGGGGGCTATTTAGCCTTGCAAACATGAACAGATTAAAGAAAAAGAACATTTTAGGCCAAAACCTCATCATAAAACTCATCTCAGGCCCTCAGGCGGCATATTCATAACAATTCTCGTAAAAACTTTCTGTCTGGTTCCTATCACCACCACTGAATTGACTAATTAGAAGGGGTGTCTACACACTTTTGGACATTTCTTGTTCCAGTGAGCTACAGGTGACAAATATTCGCCAGTGATAACTGCAACATTTAGGGATCAAATTCAGCTGATGCCTTTCTAACAACCAAGACAAATTCTCAGGGGAAAAGTAGATTTAAAGTTCAAGACTAGTCACCTGCTTTACACTCGCATGCAGCATACAGGTAGTTGTTGGTGCGGAGGAGCTTGCACTGGCCGTAAGTGCCGCAGTCATTGATGCATGGGGTCAGGTATGAGCGAAGATACACCTCTGCTGTTATATTAGTGCATGCCTCAAACCTGCAACAGACAACAATAAGGATGTTAACAGAGATGCTCACTTTTAAAAATAAAGGTGCTAAAAAGGGTACTTTGGAGCACTTCCATAGAAGAACCACTAATACTTCAGTCTTTTTCCCCAGAAGATTTGGAAAAAAACAAAGGTTCGAAAAGGTCCTGGATACTGAACCAAGCATTGTTCTTCCATGGCATTGCTCCAAAGAATCTGTGTGGGCACCTTCATGTCTAAGAGTGCAATGCAAGCTCCCCAATAAGCTTACATATATAAATTCCCTTTCAGGAACCTGTTTTAAGCAACCTTCCTCTGACTTTGAGAGAAGGGCATATTCAAATTTCCAGCCTGAGAAAAGCTGGAGTGGAGGAACAACAAATCATCCGCAAGTTGAAGCAGAGTTCAGAAGTTGAACCATGTCTTCGGATTCCGCATAACCACAAAACAGGACAAAACTCTGAGATGAAAGGTGACCTTGTGTTTAAGGACAATGTTTTACATCTTCAGAAGCAAGCAGATACGGGGGTGTATTCCCCATTGTGATAGTGTGAAAGTACTTAACAGCTTCTGTTGGCAATTTTAAACAACGTTTTCAAACTTTGCCTGAACTCTCTACCTCGATGTCCAATTTGTGTTAGTGTTTTGAAAAGGCTAAACTGTTTGAGCACTGTGTTTGAAAGACTTTGGACTAGACTGGCTTGGCCTTGATACATCTCAAAGAAGCAAATCCAGCTCGATAGTATATAGCAATCACCGGCAGAAAGGATACAGTGAGAGTCTTTATATTTCATCAAAAGCCTCACACTGCATAACTTGAAAACACTTCCTCAGACAAAAATCTAATTTACACAATGTTCCCTCTTACAACAAATGTAGTTAATTGGTTGAGACATTTGGTGCCTGAAGTTTACTTCTTCAGTTTTGCATTGGAGCTATAAGGCTAAAGTAGCTAACAAGTGCTGGAAGCTTAAACCTCACCATCTAGCAAACTGCAAGCCTAAATAATCACACACTTGCCTCAAACTGTGTTGAATTGTGTGAATGTGATTTTGCCACCAGACTATTCCTATAAATGTACAATCATATGCAAAAGTTTGGGCACTTGTGGTCAAATGATATGTTTTGTTGATTTTTAAGTTAAAATAAGTCTACAGAGAACACACTTCTGGACAATATACAATTACTGCTTATTTGCTGCTTTAATATATTAGGAAAAATATAAAACATGAAATGTGAATTTTGCAAACTTATGTCACATTTATTATTTTATGTTATATTTTTACAGTATGTTAAACTCAAATAAATAGACATTTTGCACTAAATTTTGAAGAAAAAGGCCATATTTAAGTTTGTTCCCTATAGAGGATGTATTAACTTATTCTCACCTACAAAATTAACAAAATGTGTAATTGGACTGGACTGAAATTTGTGCATATGACTGGGTTTGGGTTTATCTTTGACCTGTTAAACTCACCCGTGCTCTGTGGAGCATAGAGATCGGAGGCTGAGGTACCAGGTTCCAGTCTGCGGGTATGGAATCCGCAGCTTGGTAATGTTCGAAGTGGTGTTCACGGATAGAAGAAAGCCTGAAACAGCTTCTGGAAGAATAGAGACATATTTCATTTGGCTACTGCTACCATTTTAACTTTGCCAGTTTAACGTTTCAGGGTAATGAAAGTGCAATCACAACCTGAGGGATTGCTATTACCTTTTCAAAATGGCAGAATCAGACCTGTTAAGCCACCGGAAATGAATTGTCAAACAGATGTAGTTTTTCATTTCAAATTTGGCAGCCTTTGTACATTGTAAACACAAATACACCTTTTGCGATTCAATTTGAATTATGTCTTATTATGTTCACTTACATGGGACATGTGATTGGAAATACATGGTTGAATTATTTCTAACTAGCATTCAAATTTGAATAAGGTCTGAATTATGTGGCTGTACAAAAGGCAAGAATGTGACAGAGCAAGTAAATACATGGTATTTTATCTCGGGACAGGTGATGGAAACACCAGTCCCCACTCCCCACCACCCAAATATCTCATCTACTGGCCATCACAATACCAAAATAACATTTCTCACCATTTCAAAAGGGAAATGATTCTTAAAAAAACACCAAAGTTCTTTCAAGAACATAGTTGGTTCTTCTACGGCATCACTGTAAAGAAGCCTTGCTAGTATCTTCATTTTTAAGAGTGAAAGCACAAATAGGAAAGCAGAAGATTACAGATTATCATATACATAATTAGTTCTAAATCCTGGTCCAAAATACAATACTGTGCAAAAGTCAGAGACTCTTCATTTATTTCATTTCCAGGCAAAATAGCCATTAAGTACAAGTTCTTTCATTTTTCAGGAAATGTTGCTGAGGAGATCAGATGTAGAAACTGTCCAGTTCTTAGAGTTCTTTCTCCTGCTACAGACATATGGTCTCTATCAAGGTGCAAAATACAGGGCGTCCTAGAGGGTCTGGGGCCCCCTATTTAACCACTTGGACCAAATAAATGTCTCAAAATCAAAATTCTGGGGGGTCCCTGAAAATAAACTTATTATGATGTAATGCTGAAAAATAGGTGCACAAATACAAATTCAGTGAAATGTAATTTTTCAGCTGCTACACTCACAAAACAGCGAGCTTCTGTCTTCAGTGTTTATAACTAACTAGGGATGCAGAACTGATCTACCTCAGGGTGATGCTGTTGCAAATTGGTTCCCTCAGTTGGTCCTTCATAGCCTAGTAACTGTAACTATGCATGGGATACCTCTGAAAAACTTTACAATATGCCATAGCATATTTTTAAATCTGGAAATCTGCCCAATTTCCCAAGAGTTCCCTGGAAAGAGTGAATTTTTACTAATTTCTCAAATCCAAGGTGAAAGAGGAGATGTGTAAGATCTCAATTAATGTGTGGAAGATTGCATCACCAAACTAGAAAAGAGCATTTCTTGTAGAAGAATTGTTAAATCAAACATTGTGTTCCCGTTGAAGTTAGCATCAGCATTGCTATGGTGCAGAAGTTAGCAGCCAGCCAATGCTGGAGTAGCCAGCCAACATGGGACCCCCTATATGCCAGGGCACATTTCACACATTGGTTTTTCCTATATTTCAGCAATACATTGAAGCCATGATCCGAACTTGCAAAAAATGATTAAAAGCTATAGAGAAAATGGGACTCCAAAAATTATTTATCAACATGCAATTATTGGCCATTTTGACTGGAAATTAGATAAAAGGGTAATTTCTGACTTTTTCACAGAATTGCAGTTTAGTATTATATCTCTAACTATAAAACCCCAGTTCATCATTACTCAATTTTAAGTTTTACAGGCAACTCATTTATCCACCATTCAACACTTCCCACCCTCTGTAGAAGTTCCAAACATAGTATTTAATGCTTGAGAATAACCCTTCCTTTTGTCTCCATGGGCATTCTCTTTCACAAGTCTGTAGTCTGTCTTATCTCACTTACTGCCGTTGTTGTGAAAAAGGCCAGCTGGGATTCTACATTTTCTCCCCACCAAAGGTGGTCCACTGAGCACACCTAAAGTGTCTCCATTCCCCCTAAAAAGCCCCCATGTGTTCCCTACCCCTTTCATGTAATCTCATCACTTTAAATTGGTCTTATTGAATGCTGCAATGTGGGCCTTTGAAAACAGTTAGCAGGCCTTACTGGCGCTTTACCAAGCGTTACAATACTGAGTCATCTTTGTGCTTTTTTTCTTCCCCATGAGGAGGACAATGGGGAGCTATAGCCGCTAACCATGCAGGATTTAAAACAGCTCTGGTGGGCTGAATCCTAAGCTTCTCTTACCAGATTCGCATTTGACGGAGGAGTTGTCCCGAAGTGCCAGCGGCATTCCATGGTTCAGGCAGCCAAAGACAGTCATGTTCTCCCCTTTTGCTGAAGACTATCAGAAAAAACAACATACAAGACAACAGCACTGTTATAGAGCAGCTAGTGTAAACTTTTAAAACTAGCTCTTTATTTTACCTTAAAAATGAATGTTCCTTAATGGTTCTTGGCTTGGACATACAATTTTTAAATAAATGGAATCTTTACATTATATTAAACTTTACAAAGTTTCTTCATAGTCACACATTTCATTTACCAAAAGGATTCTTTATAGAACTATCCATTGACAGGTTCTTTAGGGAACCAAAAGTGGTTCTTTTGTGCTATTGCTTCAAAGACCCCTTTAGGCTCCATTTTCTTCAATGTTCTTATATCTAACCATCTGTAAACATCTTACACAACTTCTAAGATTATCTATCTATTTAGATCTAGACACACTTACATTTACATTATCTTACAAAAGGTGCCATAAAGAGTTTTTAAATGATGCCATAGAAGAACCACTTTTGGTTCTGTACAAATGTTTGAAAAAGAGATCTGTGATTGGAAAGAACCTTTTAAAGGTTTAAAGAAGCTTCATATAATATAAAAGTTCTTCATCAATTTAGAGCCTCTTCCTAGAACTTCTTAGAAGAAAATGGTTCTTTAAAGAATTTTCTATTGAAAGATTCTTTAGGGAAACAAAACTGGTTCCAGAAAGATCCCTTTCTGGCATCTTTACTTTTAAGAAGCGGATGATGAGCGAACTTTGATGCTACACTGTTTTTCCTTTTCTAGACAGTTTTCAGAGTTAAGAGATGAACCTCTTGTGCAAGAAAAACAGCCACAAGGCACAGTAAGTGCAGATAACCAAGCACAATTCAACAGAATACAATGAGAAGGAAAGAATCACAATATTATCCAGTGCAAGTCATGATCTTGTAAGTATATGAGTAAAAATGTTCACAGAAAAGCAGGATCTTAAGAGGCTCCCTGAAGGTTGCCAAAAGTTCTGCAAGGCATATAGAGCACATATGAGAAGATGTTTGGGGTCCCACTTCAAGACATGTAGTCTGACAGTCTTTGACAGACTTCTAGCCTTAGTCTTTGGAATCGCATGGATTTCTTTATCTGTTCACTCTCACTTTTACACATCTACTACTTTTGTAGCACTGCTTCTGGTGTTGATTGGATAAGGATAGGTTCCCCTAATGAGTTATGGTTCCTCTCAGTGTTTTTTCCTCATGGGAGTTTTCTTTGCCTTGTTCATTAGGTGTCTGGGATATAATCATTGGAACAACATCTGTTATATAAAGCACAATGTCAATAACTTTGAATTGAATTAAAATGACATCCTTGAGAGACAACAGCCTTACTGGAGTGCATCAGAGACAGGTTTGAGGAGTAAAAGGGAGAAGGCCTTCTGATATCTTTTGACAAAAGCTAACTGATTTGCTCTTGTATGTTATTTTTGCACAGTAATTAAAGGCAGCTTGAAGCTGTGGGGGCAAGTGGGGGGTTACTGCAGCTGCATGTTTCAGCACTGCCCTCTGAATGTCTGCAGCAATCTGAAAATAAAGCTGTTCACCCCCGTATCTCCCTCACAGCACATGAATAATAGAAAGAGCTCACACAGAAGAGAATCCAGGACACGGAGCAAATTAGCCAGTCCAGCCAGACGGAGAGGGGGGGAGGAGAGAGAGAGACAGAAAAAGAGAGAGAGATACAGAGATAAAGATGTAGACAGAGAGACACAGAGAGACATACAGAGAGAGAAAGAGAGAGAGAGAAAGAGAGAGATACAGATATATAGATGGAGAGAGAGAGAGACACACAGAGAGATAGACATATAGACAAATAGACAGATAGAGAAATAGACAGAGAGAATGAGAGAGAAATACAGAAATATAAACATAAACATAGTCACAGAGAGACAGACAGAAATAGATAGACAGAGAGAGAAACAGAGAAAGAGAGAGATACAGATACAGAGATATAGATGTAGAAAGAGAGAGAGAGAAGAGAGAGACAGAGATATAAATGTAGACAGAGACACAATGAGATAGACAGAGATAGATAGAAATAGACAGATAGACAGAAATAGACAGAGAGACAGAGAAAGTGAGAGAAAGAGATACAGATACAGAGATATAGATGTAGACAGAGACACAGAGAGATAGAGAGAGAGAGAGATACAGAGATATAGAAGAAACAAAGCAATAGCGATAGACACAGAGAGAGATAAAGAGGTAGAGAAAGAGACAGAGAGGGAAAGACACTGTGAAAGACTGACAGAGAGAAAGAGAGAGTGATAGATGAAGAGAGATAGATAGAGAGAGAGAGTCTACTACGTTGGCTACACTAAATGGGACAGGCATCCATGGAAGCAGAATTCTGCAGAATGATCACAAAAATCCAAAGGAAAACACCAACTAATGCATGCAGGGCAGAATAAGCATGATTTCTTTTGTCAATAAACATTCAAAAAACATCTCTAAATTTCCGGATGCATTTAAAGAGAAATGCTGCATTTTAAGACCCTACAGAGCCAAGAACCGAACCCTGAAGAGTTAATTCAGTCAGATGGTTCTAAGGCTTATTGACCCTCTAACAGCTCCTGATAATCAGCAGCCTCGTTCCAGCACTGCTTTCCAGCCTCAGCTGAGCATTAATCACATCATCAAACGCAGTAAGAACAGTCATTTTCCCAATTAAAGTTCAGAGTTAACTGGACTGCTATCGGACCCTAAAAACAGAGAACTGAGAGAGTCAATATCCTGACTCTCTTAGATATAAAGCAGAGACAAATCCTGACCAAGTACAGGCTCAGTGACCACAGCCTGACCAAATAAAAGGGCAGGTATAAAAAGTCCTGGCTGTCCCAGAACAGAGAGACTGTGGGGTCACTGTGTGGCAGGTGAAGTCAAGACAGAGATGCACTTCTTTACTGTGAGAAATTCAAACTGAAATGTGACATTTTCAGAAACACATTCAAAGATAACAAATTTAGAAAAAACTAACACAAGTCAGAAAATTAGGAATTATTCTTGGGGAGGGGCACACAGCTCCGCTTGCTGCTGAAGATGAAACTACATGTCAAAGAAAGGCCTGGGAGACAGTGAGTAACAACCATCATACCCCCACCCTCCTGACCCCTAACACTACACATATGCATGTAAAAAAATTACAAATATACCATTAGTTTTTTTAATAGTGATGATACTGATGATAATAATAATGTGATGATTAAAATTATAGTCATTAATATTGTTATTATTTTCTGTAATTCATATTATTTTCATTGTTGCATTGTTGTAATGCTTTGACAGTGCTGTACTTGACACAGTCTTGCTAATAACTGAAGTGAACCAAAATGATCGAGAGAGAGAGAGAAAGAGAGATGAAGATGGACGAACAGAGAGAGAAAGAGAGACAGAGAGATTGAGATAGACAGAAAAAGAGAGAGAGCTAGACAGAGAGAACCAGAGATAGAGAGAGAGAAAGAAAGAACGAGAGAGATAGTGAGAGAAAGAGAGGATGAGAGAGAGTTAGGGAGAGATAAAAGTGTGTGTATGTGTGTGTGTGTGTGTGGGGGGGGTTGCTGGGGGGCAGGGGACAAAGAGAGAGAAAGAGCGAACAGAAAGTGTCATGTCTTTTTTGGTTAATCAGAGCTGTTAGCCAGATGCTGTGGGCCGCTAAGCTCTCTGGGTAATGCAGTTTAATAATTGAGTGACCTGTGTTGTTGCTGCTGCCTCATTAAAGCACAACAAGACACGACTGACCCCAAAGAAGCTGCATTTGCCCAGTGGCATTGAGAAAAATCTGAAAAATTAGCTTCAGTTTCACAGCCTAGAGTTCAAGCCTGGAGTTACACATCATGTTTTATTCTTGATTCTCAACCTTTAGGAGCTGCTTAGAACAAAAACATGCAGCAACTTCATAAGTGTTCCTCACTTATAATTCACTGAATCAAGCAGAGAAGCACAGACTTAAAACTGCTGATACAGAATGCAAATGTTATTCAGTTCATAACTTGCTATGCATTTAATCATGTGATTATGTATTTATATTTCAATAGTATAGAAAAATATCAGTAATAAACTCAACTTTTAAAGGTATAGAACTCCTGTTATTTCACCTAAGAAACATAGCTTGAGGCTTTAGCTCCCACATGTTGAAAAACTAGTTGAGGCACCCTTTTGTCTTTTTCACTTAGATCACTGTAATGCGTTCTTTGTGGGATCACCTAAAATCACAACAGACTGCAGCTTATTGAAAATGCAGCAGCCAGGTTACTGACACACAGCAGAAATAATACAGAGCGTATTACACCTGCTTTAGACCGCACTCGCTATCTGTTTCATTTACAATAGACCTCTCAGAACTGAATTATTCCACTGATCTTCAAGGCTCTTAGTGGCTTAGGGCTTTCATACATATCCTACTGTCTGACAGGTTCTGTTCCAAATCGAGCTTTACAATCGTCGAGCACTGGCTTACATCACACAGAATACATCCCAACAGTTCAAAACATTCAGCCATGTTGTTCTTTTGATAATCAGGCTTACTTCTGTGCTGTTTCATTCATTCTATTTACCACTTTGTGTCACTCTGTAAAGGCTGAAATAATCATTTAAAAGTCAGAGGTAAAGGGACGGATTTTTTCAGACCATCTCATACTTTATTTCTTTATTATACTGACATATTAACGTCACATGCACAGGCTCAAAGAAGGTCCAGCTCGATGTTTAGGTCTCCAATGCAAATATCAACGTTATAGTAGATCATTTACTTACATCCTCAAAAGACACGTCCCTCAACACGTTTTGACTGAGTTCTCTTTGAATACTCTTTCAAGTCTGATTTATCCACTTGTAGGGGTCCGAAGCACAGCCAACGCTGTTCCTCCACACATAGTGAGTGATTACATATTTCGTCCAGAGAGATCTCCAAATCCCCAAATCCTACATAGTGCTGGTTTAATGCATAAAATATGCATTATCATTATTGTTGGACCACTGAGTGTGCTGAGATGGGGCTAAGCATAAGCTTGTAAATGAAGTAAATGAGCCAAAA